CTTCTGCAATACACAAAAACAACCATCATTTTCAGTCAGATGATACCATTAATCAGGTGGTTCTCCCAATCGCTCCCCCTCCAGTTCAGTTTATGGACAACGATAATTATGGAAAGGTTAAAGCTGCTGGGCAGGAGCAACCTCTAGGGTCAGTCCCAGAGGAGGAGGAATCTGACTGGTCTGAAGTGGGAGAAGAGACCCCACGGCTTATACTGACAGGATCAAACAGGGGTCAGACCTGGAGACACCGGGAAGCAGACCTGGACAGAGACAGCGAGTCAGGAAGTGAGGAAATTCCCAGACGACACTCTCCACGCCCACTGCAAATACCTCATCTTCAGTTCACCTCCCACAGTGACAATTTACCTGCACCACAAACTAGTTCTCGCCCTTCTGGCATGAAGAATCTTTCTGATGACATTACAGGTGAGGGAAGTTACAGGTCCTCTAGTCCAAATCATGGATCTGCCATTCTTATCCGGTCAGCAAGCCTGGAGGAAATTCCTCTGGCATGCCATCACATGCAAAAAGAGCTGAGAGGCACAGAGGCCATGATGGACCTCCGCCATCGAGGGAATGAAGCTACTGAGGATTTAGATAATGAGATCATTCATCATTGGAACACAAGCAACCACAGGGTTATTGGGAGGCCAATAGATAGCAGTATGTCAAAGGCAGAAAGCAGCTTGGCCAGCCTGCAGTCAGCCGAGCGGATGCTAAACCACTTCATATGTGATTCTTACACTACAGAGGGAAGAGAGCAGGACAGGGCTGAAGTACATGGCTGGATAGGAGGGATTCCAGATGAGGTGCTGAAAGGAGAGCGAACAAAGCTGTGACAGTAACATGACTGCACTAAAATCCTAATTTAATGTAGCTGTAGTAGCAAGTTTAATGAATAAGCTCGTTTTAGTGGTTTATGGATTCAGCCACATTAATTTGATGTTTGATGTAATTTAATTTCTGAATTTGAAAAGTAGATTTTATGGATTTACTTTGATAAACTTTCCTACTGTCCAATTGGTGTATTCAATAAAAGCGATGAGTTTCTAGCTTTAAATTATTATAGCTGCCATTTGCTGAAAGTGATTGTTGGTTGATGAATACTATATTATACTATACTATATACTATATATTTTCCACTACTTGGAAAATCCTGTACAGCTTAGATAAACTGATTAATTCATTGTAAAATGTAAATGTGTATTTTTGTTGCATAGATACAAATAGAATGGTCAGCCAAAACCACTGACAGGTGGGCCTCCAAGGCTCCACCACAGAGCCCACATGAGCCAAAGGTTCCACTGCTGAAACAACAAAATAGCCACAGTTCATACTCTGACAGGTCAAATGTGGTTTTGTGGCTAAAGGAGGACATACACAATGTTAGGCAGGTGGTTTTAATGTTGTGGCTGATTACTGCAGTTCCTTTTCTTTTTTCATCATTGCAGAATTTTAAAAAGTCATCATATAAGTTATACTTATTTACATAGCTAGCTACTGTTAGATACTCTTGAATGCTATAAACAACATCAAGCACAATTTAAAACAGTTAAAAAGATCATATTGAACCTGATTTCCTTTCAGTCTATAGTAAAATTTAATTATGATAGGCTTGCCTTACATGCTACTGATAATATATATATATACTTATAAATACGGTATTGCTATAGCTTTTAAAATGTGAAAATTATCTTATGTTTGCTGTTTTCCTCATGTTACAATATCCTGCCAAAATAAAAGCTTGCAAATGAACAGATTTTACAGTTGTGTCTCTGTCCATGTCACATCTAACTGAAATGAAAAAAACAAACCCAAAACAAAACAG